ATACATCACTTTACTAAATAAGGGATACCTACAGCGCTATATTTAACAACCTGCCCCAACAAAATAAATAAAATTACATAATTTGGCCACCCCCGAAACAGTTATGAGTCTCGAGTCTCGGGCACAACAGAAAAACAATAAGGATACAAAACGAAATTAAATGGAAAAGTGAGATTAAATTTATAACCGAGAGATTCATTCATTTCCGGCAGTTAATAAATAGGACAGAAAAGCTCGAGCTTTCTCGACGGAACGAAACGTTCCCCCTTTTACTAAAGAGAATTACGAACTTTAAAAGTGTTTATAAAAGCCCCATACTCTAAAGAGCAACAAGTGTCCATAAAAATCTGATATGGGAACGGAATTCCTAAAGAATGTTCACCCCTGTTTGTTTTATTACTTTTATTACGTTCTACAAACTGTTGCGAGTAACAGGTGGTACAACAAAATAACGAGATCGGTCGGAAACCGTAAAAAGTTCTTTAATCCGCTTAATGGTGCCCTGTTCTGGCCCTTTTTATACTTAACTGCTGTTAATTATTTTATTACTCGGTAGTTATTTTTAAGAGGTGTGTTATTTGAATTTCATTACTACTGAGCGACGGAGGTTCTGCTGCTAGATGATTGCAGATTTTCGTTCGTTCCCTACTTTTGTATTAATTAAGCTTCAAAAGGTTGCTCGTCAGCACACAAGATTATCGTCATTTGATCTCTCACATTTACAAAAGGAGGATTGTATTTGCACGGAATATTAGGGAAGTTGGGGAAGTGGCGACACTACAAATAAAAATGATTTTTTGAGAAAGAAAAGCATAATGCAAATTTTAGTTACTTATTAAATGACGCTGAAAGTAAATAGATAATGGAATATTGTAACGTAAAGGTGCTGTCCTGGTGGATACGACTGGAAGCGTAAATTATTCTGGAATATGTTTTGCATGAGAAGTTGAGAACCATGACAAACGGGTTTCGAAATCGGTACAAAATGAATTGTTGATTTTTTTACTTTATGCTTTTATATCAAGTTTAATGGTGGGTTTATTATCATTATCATTAGTTTAGTTCATTACATTAGATCATTAGGAACTAGCCAATAGAATCAAAGATTTATTGTGCGTCGTTAACCAACAAAACCATACCTCCGTTTCTATTGACCTACTGAGAAGAGAGTAATGATTGTATAAACTATAAACCCACCATTACAGTTTTAACGATTTTTGTATGTATTTCAATTTTCATTTTAATATCACAAAACTGTTAGCAAAATTATTGTGAGAGTGAGCTTAGTGAGTTGACAGTCCAGATCAACGGCGGCGCAAAACTCAAACCATCACAAAACCATGGAGATGCGACCACAAAACAGGCCGGAGCAAAAACGCCTAGACGGAATTGTCCCGACAAAGTGACTTTTACACAAAATAACTTGACCATAAAACAAGCCCTATCAAAATGAAACTGCTAGGCCCTAGGGGTAATAGAGAACGATTCCACAGCATTGGAATAATTAAGGAAATCGCGACAATTGAGTAATATTGACAAAATTAGGAAGCTAGATCAAGTGGAAAAGTAGAGGGTATTGACCAAACCGTCAAACACAAAGAAGCCGACGGTGTTGAAAAAGCCGAAGAAATACTCAAGAAAATTCAAAATTCCTACTGAATGAGTTCACACTTCATTATTTTATACGATACAATTTTGTTCCATTCACTCAATTTACAGATCGACTCCTTTAAAAAGTTCTCTTACTTTCAATAAAATTTCTTAAAGAGAACTGATCGTTATTTTTTTCCAAATCAATTACTTTACCTTGATTATAACGTTTTCTCCAATCGATGGTTTTCCTATGGTACAAAACCATACGGTTCTTCTTGAATCCTTAAATCTGGATAATATAGAATTAAACCTGGATCTCTTCTTATGTAATTGAATGTAATTGAACCGCCTACTTTTACCGTCTGCTTTCAACCAAGTTTACGCTCTCGCGGTATCACCCATTATGAGCGCCCGCAAATGGAGGGGATACACTTATTACTTTTGCTTTATACAGTGTGAGCAACAATGATTGAAGCGTGCGTCATCACCGCTTGTTCCTATTAATATCAAAACTACCTTCTTTGTATGGAGTTGTATACGAAAATGACGTTCTGCGCTGTCACGGTGACGTGCGTCTATTCGTATTTCGTATCTTGTATCAAATCAGCATATGCTATGAGCGGCACATTGCCAATTTAGCTGAAGCGGCACGCTTCAATCTTTGTTGCTCACTCTGTACAATTGCTGAAAGATGCGCGCACTCAACGATAATACATAAATAAATATTGCTCGCCCTACTTCTGCTTGTCATTGATAGATTTCTCTAGTCACGTTCAAGAAAATTCTTCTGTAAGAACTGCACACGTTTACTCAAAATTTCCATTCAAAACCCTATATTATATGCTCAAAACCCTCACGGATAGGGGGTGACTGATCAATTGCAAGTCTGTAGGTCATATTACTAATTTCGGATTTCTTGTTTGTTTAAAGCCATATCTTTGTAATCGCGGTTATACCAAAATGACACTTTTTCGTTCCTACAATTGACACACCTTGAACGAACCAAAATGCGCACAAATCTCATTTAATGTTAATTACTTTGATCCCAAAGTGTGCATTATTGACCAAATATAAACTTCTGTACGCATTATCACTAATGCCGTTTTTTTGTAGATTTGTTTTAAAATGCGTCACTTACAACACTTCGCATTTTTTCGTCATTCGATTATTTACATTCCTAACCATTTTTACTAAGGAGCGACTTTTGCAATTTCAATTACGGATTCGTTTATTTGGACGCCCACAAGACTCCTCGGTGTTTAATAACGTGAGTGCCCGAAAAATCTAGTATTTCGAACCAAGTTATTCACGCTCTGGTGGTCCCAAACCGAATGCCCTACCGCTATCACTCTTAGACGCGTCCCTACTCTTTTTTAATTTTTAATACGTCGACAAAATGGTGCGAACAGGTTAAATCGGTCATCTTTAATCGTTAACCAATCGGTTTCGTTTCCTTACACCAATCACATCCGCATAGTGACCATTTAACAAAACTCATCAGATTTTAAGGTCGCTTGAGTTCGCGCTTTTCACGAATGTGAATGTCACTATGAGTAATCCTGATTTAGTGGTTTTATTTACGTAAAAGTCATTAAGATTGTTGTATTGCTCGTTATACTGGCACCAATATCTTTTCCTAGGCAAGTAACCGGTCATGACACATCCAGAAACAAATTGCCCACAAAATATAGATCGCCAAAGAAATTTGAGGACACAACGTCTCTAAGGAGTCGCATGTTCCGGTAACAAAACAATACGGTCATTCTTGAAGGGATGGCACCTTAAATGGATAATATAGAATGAAACCGGGGTCTCCTCTTCTTATGTGAACTGTCTAGTTTTACCGTCTGCTTTCAACCAAGTTTACGCTCTCGCGGAATAACGTATTGATAGCTCACTCCAAGATCAAACCGACCTGCGTAGCTCACACGAGTTTACTTAACTCTATCTGGGTCGCACAATGGGTTCGAATAAACACAATTAATTGACAATGAAAAATTTTTATTTCGAAGCACATGAAAAGAATGTTTTTTATTTATTTTTTTTATTTTATTGCCGTTATTTTATAGTGGGCGGAGTGTTAGCAATTTGCTACTCTTCCCACTAAACCCACTATACAATCACAAACAGCCATGCCTTCCCTGGGATTCGAACCCAGGACCCTTGTAGCCACTTAACCACAAATTCTTGAAAGAAACAAAAGCTTGCAAAGCTTGCTTGGACAAATTACCCGGTACGCAAGCGTTTAACGAAAAAAAAATAAGAAAGAAAATCGAATACACGGCGTTCTCTGAGTGTGCGAAGGAAGCCATCTCCCGCCAGCGATTCGTGCAAGAGCTTCAATGAGTTGGTGAACATGGACATCTTGTGCGACAACCGTAGTTCGTTCAAGCTCCCTGAGACCCCCCGTATTTCATTCAGGGAGTAAGCACATCGACATTCGTCATCACTAGGTCCGGGGGGTAGTCGCTGACTTCCTAACAAAGGCATTATCGAAACCGACCTGAGGTGTCTTCAGCGCTTGACATGTGTAATTGCGACAGCAACCTTCCACTCGAGGAGAAACGTTAGAATGTAGTGTTTAGTTGCTCTATCTCTTGTAAACGAGTCGTGTCTCGCAAAGTGTGCCGATCGCATAACTGATAACAATAATCGCTTCTTTTTGCGTGTCGGCCTTGTACGGTTCTATTTGTGTTTAGCTATTCTATTTTACTTTCATAAAGTTATTTTTACTTCTTGATCGGCCATAACACAAACAAAATTGATTCGATTGATTACGAAATGCCGTTGGCCATTCAGACGGTACGAACTTTTAACTTTGATAATAAGAGAACCTTGGTAGAAGGCCTCGGGGTGCACTAAAACTGCTTCCTTTGCTTCAACTTGACTAACTTTTTTCGAATACGGACGACACGCGTTGAACTTCTCAAAACTTTATAACAACTGCAGTTAATTTTCAATTGTACAGAAATATTATGAAAATGATGAACTGCGTATTCAATCAATCAAATAGGGCGAACGCCCGAACAAAACTAGCACAAAATAACGTACCCGGTACCGTCAACCGTCACGTATCAATTATCTTGCAGTCCGCTGCTTGCAGTATTTAACGAAACACCTCCATAATAAAATACATCTCCTTCTTCCGGTTTTTACAGAATAAACGCCAACCGTAATTAGCCTTGATCACGACGCGTCCCCACTTACGCCGAACTGATACGCACATCGTTCGTTAATCTATTCGATATTAAGATAAAATCCTCCACATTGTAAATTTATTAGAGTTTTGTGATACCTACGATAAAAATAACCATTACTTACTACAATGGCAAAACAATAAATTATAAAAAGCGACTTCCTCTTCTACTTAAACTACGAATAGTTTTGATTTCTCCCCCATTTTTCAGCCTCCCCACATATATTCTCCACACACCGTGATCTTACGTCAGCAAGGACATAGCTTCGAAATAGCAACGTGCCTTTGTTCGTTACTAATCGGCCAAGGATACGATGCGTACGTTGTGTCTGGATACGCTACGCAAGACGTTTCCCTAAAAATCATGACCAGAGTGGATTCTCCGTTCCCCCCAGAAGTACAAGAGGCGTTAATTGTTAGCGACCAAGTTGCGGAGTCGAAATATGCATTAAAACCACCGAAAGATCTGCGCAGTAAATTTTTACTCGCCATGGAACAGAGGGAGATTGACAAAGTCAACGCCCAAAAGGCCAAAGAAGCCGAGGCCGAGGCGAAACGATTAGAGGTATGATACGAATCCAACGGTGATCTGCTTTTTAAATCGTGCTTCAGGCGCTCGAGAAACCACCTTTTGACGAGTTACATGCGCAGAGGTTGCATAGTTGGGTTTTACTTCTGGCTGGAAGTAAAAGGGTCGAAAACAGTGTATTTATCGAGCCTACTACAGGTACAGCTTATCCACTTGACTGTAAGTTTTACTTTGGAATAGAAAGCGTTTGGAACAATGTCAATTACTGGGTAATTATTGTATTTCCATCATCGTTGCACTGATGAAATGTCTATGTAGGTGAACTTGCAAGATTGCAGTAAGGGACTCGAGTATATCAGTTACGATTTCTCCAATTGGGAACACTTACTAATTGGAGAGCCATTTAAATGGAGGGAATCGCATTTTCCGAAAGAAATGGAAGACGAAGAAGTGGACTATTTAACTGTCACAGATGAAAAGCATCTTGATATGCCGACACCTTGGAGTCTCAGAATATCTCTATCGCATGGCAGTACGTTGTAGCAGTGTTTCTTTTAATAGTGCGATTTGTTCCAGCTTTAGCTAAGCGTTTTCCCGATGGTGTGAAGAAAACCTGGTATAAACGAACCTACGTTGAACAATTTGCTCCGTACATACAGGAAGATGGTTTGATCGTTCGAATATGTCGATATAGAGATTTAGATTACTCACCTTCGGAACTGTATGTCATTGAAGAACATTATGAGAATCGGGCTGATAACTTAGTGAAAATTGTGAGTGATTCCATGACTGGGGATATCTTTGAATATTACAGTTCGGGAAGGGAAGATTGCATGAAGAGTTAGTTTCCACTTTGCGTACATATGATTGGTAAGTTATTAACTGTTTTAGTGCATCATTACGCGTCAGGTGATGAAGCTACCGTGGAACAACCCCGAGATATAGAATTTTACCACCATGCACGATATGATGGTTTATCTAAACTGATTATGCATTCCTTGTACATGACAGAGTACTATGAGAATACGGAGGATAGGTAAGCATGGCGTGGAAAATGTCGCTATCCACAGCTCTTGTTCTGATGAGATCATTATGGTTCCAGAATATATTATCGCCATATAGATTTCGCTCCCAGAGGGAAACCCCCACCTGGTATTTTGGAAGGAACTCGCCGCATCGTGGTGGTAAGTTACAAAACCATCGACATAATCGATTAAATAAATCATCGAACAATTTTCGTCAGAAAGTTTGCGAGAAATTTCATAGAAACGAAAATAAACCGGCATCCGAAGACGTCGCCATACGCGAATTTGCCATAACTGATCGCGAAATTCGCATAAAATACCACTACGAGGAGGGAAAAGTGACGGCATCGACACGGGATTTTTTCAAGTCATTGGCCGATATGGGAGACGAGTTGAAGTTTTCTCCGGAATTAACCGTTGGATATCAAGCGGAAATCGGAGCCAAGCCTCCAAGACAGTTAAAGCTGTTTTACTTATTTGAACAACAATTGAAGGAAGAAGAGAAGGTCTTGTACCACATTAGAGAAATTGAAGATCAAGTATTACGTAATTTAGGTTTGTCGATTGTTTAAATAGGTAGGTATGTTGCAGATAACAGAGGTCTTAAAATTGCGATGCATGGAAAATGCCTTCACGAAACTGAAGGTTTCATTATTTAATAGAGAGTATAATCAAGAGCACAGACGTGGAATGCTTGAAAGAGTAAGTTGCGTTTTGGAATTTCTGGAAACGGGTTTATTCCCTGTAGGAGCAACAAGAAAAGGAATACCGGGAGCGCGAGGTTGAAGATGAGGTTGATTATTTAACACCCTATTTGGCAAGGTTAGGAAAATTGAAACGGCGGCTTTCGCGTAGCGAAGCCATACAAGCCCGAGATTGGTGTTTGAGGGAGTTTAAAGTGTTACTATTGGATCGAGCCATTGACATTCAGAATCAGTTTGAAACGGTAGGTAGTAATCGTAGCAATATCGAAACTTAAATTTCTTGTTTAGGTATCACAAACGTTCCAAAATAAGCAGCAATGGCACACAGCAGTACGAGACACTTTGAGTATTGAAGAAGAAGCTGCGTATTTTGAAGAGATGAATGAACTAACGTTTTTACTACGGACACTTGAAATTCGGTTGATGCGCCATAAGGATTTGTCACCCTATAGGTGGAGCGATGGTATACTATACTGATTTCGTTTCTACTTGGTTGGTTTTTCAGGTATGAAATATTGGAAAATTACTTGAATATTCATCCGGTTCTTGAGAGCTTGCAAAATTAATGAACTTCGAGAAGAAAATAAAGCCTGTAAATGTATTTAAAGCGTATTATTTAATGATTTTGACCAGAGTAATCAACCACCATGGTAGCGGTCTATTTTATATCAGAAGCTTTTTAGTCCAGCAAATAACTAATAAGCAGTCAGAATGTGTGTATTGCACACCAGGTATACCTTTCTAAGCGTTATAGGAAGATTTCCTCTAGGAATAAATATTTCTCTTCCTCCCTTGGTTTTGGGCTATTTCACGCCTAGACACTTTGACTTTTGGATTTTGTCCGTGCCCCAGTGCCTCACTTCGAGAGAGGCAGTTTGTTAAAAAGTCTGAGGATCGTCTCCGCTTAAGTGCTATTGCAGCCTCGCCCACATGCTGTGATGCCCGGAAACAGCCTCACACTAGCAAAGGATGTATATTTTCCTCTCGAAGCAGAGACGACATGCGCTATTTTGTTGAGATGATATCTCAGGGAGCAGTGTCCAGTGATCAGACCTATACATATATGACCTTAATTCACTTCTGCTAGCAACGAGCTGTTTTAGTATCCTGGAGACTGATCATTTTTTTGGATTGTCTTAGTCCAGACTCCAGAGACAGATTCCCAGAGACGAGCAAGGTACCATTCCTACACTGTAGCGAGGGCATACTGCAATTAGGTCACACAGAGTAGCTTCATGTTTGCCCTTCACCCTAATCACTAGGTCGTTTGCATACGGTATGCAGTTAAACCCCAAGACGGGCTAGGAGATTTAGCAGTCCGTCTATGACTAGTGATCAGAAGAGAGGGGAAATTACACTCGCTTGCGGACAGCTCTGCTCGCGGCCAACTCTGCTCGCGGCCACTAGGACTGTTTCCCATCCCAATCTGATTTTAATCGGCCTGTTTTCTAATATGGCTTTTATGCAACTCCTTGTGTACCTACAGGTCGATTTCTTTGTTTCTTGTTGCTTCATTTATGAGGGAAATTCGAAGGCTCCTTGAATGTGTATCAGATTAAAGTCGATTTTTGTCTAGCATGCATTTCTAAATATTAGAGATGATGTTATGAAGGGTGGGCTCCTTTTGATATGCATGTTGGTTGGTAGGCTGATAGGTCGATAGCTCTTGGCTTGGTCCCTGGGACCTTAGGAATAAAAACCACGTCTACCTTCCTGCAGTCCTTGGGGATATATATTAGGGAGTAGCTCCACACCTAAAATGTTTTACTAGAATTAATGTCTCTGTTTTACTAGAATTAATGTCTCAGGCTTGTGGCAGCCTACCGCGAAAACGGAACCAGTTTGGTGTGAACATACGGCCAGTAAAACTGTAGTCAAATTTGTTGGCAGGACGGGAAGATGGAGACCTCATGATGCCTTTCGTCTGCTCAACGGAGCCCGTGAAGTGGGTTCTGATCAAGAGTGGTAAAGTCTCTCTAGTTGAGCTGGTGCATTCCCCATCTGGTCCTACTATCGTTTCTAACGGATTGTTCTTCTCTTTTGAAAGGATCTTCTGTAGGCGAGAGGCTATAGGAATGTCTTCTGTCCCACAAAATCTTTCCCAAGACACTCTTTTTTGCCTTCCGAATCGTGAGGGACACTATAGTAATCCCAGAACCCAGTGCGTTTGGCTTTATTCAAAACCCTTTGGTGCCTTTCCTGAGCTCTCCTAGTTCATTCTTCCACCAGGGAGTGCTTCTATTTGTTTTAGCCCTCTTCAGCGGACAACTTATTTGCTGTTCCTGGTTACAAATATTGGCTCATTGCTCTGACTGAGTATATCTAGTTTCTCTGACAATGAAAATCTAAAAGGATGTGATGGGAGTTGGCGTCACATCCTATAAGAAGATGCAGCCGTTCCTCTGGTGGCATAGGAACTGCTGTCTCATTCGCCTCCGGAAAGTATGCCGAAGCACACACTATTTTGGCAGCGCCGGTGCCCAATGGTGCTTCGACCAACACAGCTACCAGGTCTTTTGTTATGAACTCTGAAAGAGGAAAGTCGGTTAGTTTCGAATTGTTACTTACCCATGGTTCCTGCATGAGGGCCACGAGATTTTCTTTGGTGAACCTTGTACACAGTGCACTGGTGGCCGCTTTCTTACTGTGTAGGTTCACCTGTATACATTTTATGGCAGACATTATTGGACATGTCGCGGCGCAAATGAGGAGGGACGTCCCCTGTCCTGACCCTGCCGGTGTTTCACTTGAGAGAGCACCTCTCTTTTGGCTTTCCTTGAGTCACGATCAGAGCTTGCTCGTCTGGTTGGTTCAGTTGAGCTTTCCCCGACTTCCAATGGAGTCACCTCGGTGGGTTCCGCATTGAGTGTTCCACTAGAGGCGACTTTGAGCTTTGAGGGTATAGCTTCCTAGGGTTTTTGACGTTAATTTTAAAATGTGGTCGGCCCACTTTTTTTGCCTCTCCTTGAAAGTCAGCCTGAGGCTTTGGAAGATCCTTTTCCTCACCAAGTTTAAGTTCAGTTCCCTCTCACGGTTTATCGGTTGCGCAGTGGATTTTCAACCACTGAACTGTTTCCACGTCCATACAGGAGAGTATTAGCCGACCTTCGCTGGCAACCAATTCGTAGAAACGGGGCTTTCTCTTTCGCCGTCAAATATCGCTTCGAAGATGTTGGCTTTGATCGGGGATGGTATTCAAATTAGGGTCTGTCGAGAAGGTCCCTACTTTGAGGCGTTCCGAAACGAAACGAAATCGATGATAGTTCACTGCTCTTGTATACAGTGTGTCCCCGGATGGACTGAACAAGAGGGAAAAAATTTTTAATTTTAACTTTACGCAAAAATGTCATTCTTTATCAAAATTTTTGCTTGCCTCAAAACCACCTATTCTGAAATAAAAATCTAGATATTCCTTTTAGCAGCTGAGAAAATTACAAAAAACGCAAAATCTATAGCGGAAATTTTTCTAGTCGCATGTTTTTGATTAAATCAGACTATCATCAAAGAGTACCAGTACTCTTTGCTATCATTGTATCTTCCATGGCAACCTGATAAGTAAATCAAGTTAAAAAAGACACCTTAGAGCTTAAGAGAAAAATGATTATTTATTATTATTTTATTCAATGTGGTATCCTCCAACCTCTACACACTTTTCAGCTCTACATACAAATTCTTTATAAACATTGTGGACAGTGGCGTAACTACCATTGGGTAGTTCGGGGCAATGCTCCGCAATCTCCGGGGGCCCCGCAACCCGAAAGATGCCAGCCACACGTAGAAAACGACGTGTAGTATACAAAATATAAAAATGTGTGCCATGCGGGCCTATAATGCCTCATTGTAGTGATTTGGCTAGCACAATGTCAACGAAGGAATTTTTCGAACTAATCATCAAACAATTCTCGACAGTGATTTCATTTAGAATTTAGATGTTCACGGCTTTTTTATTATTCTTGACATTACCTGTAACTGTGGCAAGTCTCGAGCGATCGTTCAGTAAGTTGAAAATCATAAAAAATTATCGAAGATCTCAAATGGGTCAGAAAAGATTGATCAATCTAGCATTTCTTTCAATTGAATCTAAATCGCGTCGGAAATGGATCTGACCCAAGTAATCAAGGATTTGCAAATGCAAAGGCTAGAAAAAGAGACTTTTAGATTTTCTATATAACTTGGGCTCGTCAAATATGTATGTAATTATTATTTCAAAAATTAAACGTTTAGTATGTTCCGATTTTATATTTTGCAATTAATAAGAAGTATAGATTAAAAAAATGACTGTTTTAAGGTGATTTTATTTAAACGATTCTTATTAAAAACTCTAATTCGTGCCTAGTACTTATAGGGGGCCCCGAGGACCCTTTGCCCCGAGGCCCCGAGCTGTCTTGTTAGGCCACTGATTGTGGATCGTATCTTCATTGACAGAATTTATCGCTTCCGTGATTTTTTGCCATGGAAGATACAATGATAGTCTGATTTAATCAAAAACATGTAACTTAGAAAAATTTCCGCTGTGGATTTGGCGTTTTTTGTAATTTTCTCAGCTGCTAAATGAATATCTAGATTTTTATTTCAGAATAGGTGGTTTTGAGGCAAGCAAAAATTATTATAAAGAATGACATTTTTGCGTAAAGTTAAAATTAAAAATGTTTTCCCTCTTGTTCAGTCCATCCGGGGACACGCTGTATATTTAGACCATATTACAACATGTAGTTTTTCCGCAATGAATAGGTACCTATAGGTAAGTGCCATTTGCAGATGGTCCAAATTAATGATCGGACTCTCGACTAACTGCAATTTGCTTCGTTAATCAATCTGTTAAAGATTTAATCACAAGAAAAGGATGTATAAACAAAGTAGGATACACGTTCTTAAAGCAACAAACGTCAATTATTTTTCCGAGCTGAAACTGCGCCCCCCTAAGGATAAAACCTAGTGACCCCCAGCGGGCGAGGATATGGTTGTATGCGGGGGCGGCGGATTTTAATTAGTTGCATGGGGGCCAGGGCCAATTTTCTTGAATAATAGGGATCATCATAAATTAGAATTGGTTTCATACGTTTAGGAACATTCTTTAAATACGTCGGTTCCGCAGGTCGCGCTGTATACGTATAATAATGTGCATGGGGGCAATGCGCCCTTAAGATCACATTGCATGAGGGATTGGCCCCGTTGCCCTCCATAAGTCCCCGCCCCTGGTTGTATGTGTTGTTCTATGATCGGTTATTTTGTGTTGGGACGTGAAGACCGAATGCTATGAAAAATAGTTAATTGAGACGGATAGATCCCACTAGATAATCTCCTTCCTCATTAATGAAATGGGTAATTAATAAATGTACAAATTACGAAAATTACCTCGTGCAATAACCATAAATGGTAATGGAAAATAAAAATCGCGGGAATGCACCATGCTCTCAATAAAGGATATCAAGACAAGAGACAATAGCAAAATTTAAATAATAATAGATTGGTTCAGTTCCCAAAAAAAATCTGGTACCTACTCATGGGATTATTTTTGATCCGAGTGCTAAAGCGTTTGATTGGCTCCATAGGTGTGTGTGTGTTTGTTCCATGATTGGATTATGTCCATCTGTCCATTCACGTTGGAACACCAGGATCAGAATTAAATCCAAATCAAAAATGTTAGTGCATTGTGATTTGACAGAATTTTTTAAATTAAAAATTAAAAAAGGGTTTTCCCTTTTGAAATAATAAAGGAGGTTTACGCAAACATAAAGGAACGGAAACAGGTGACTCCTTGTCGAAACATTATATTGTTTCACCTCAAAACACTCTGTTCTGGAGACTGTGCAAAATGATCAAAGGACTTTTTCACGGGCATGGAATAAACGCTAATATATACAGTGCAAATCGTATAATTTATGTTCAGTCTTGCTGTAAGGTGTGTTGCCTAACCATTGTGGTATCATTGAATTTATAATAGTTATAAATTCAATGGCATGGCGAAATTTCGATATTACGTAATGTATCAGGAACGGCGCGAATATGGGGCAAAAGAATGTTTAACGAGTCAGTACCATGAAGGATTCAAAGATTTTGTCGTGGAGAAGTTTACCTTCCAAAATTCCTTAGGACAGTTACGATCACGATTTGAGGCAACGGCTTCGAATAATTTGTATTGGACACTCGACAGGTGGTGCACCATGATTTGAACAATGCCCACAATTCTTTGCAATAAACTTTTTGTAAAAATTGAAAAGGGGTATTGACAATTTCACAGACATTATACTCTTTCCAAATTTCGTTTTTTAAAATTTAGGTTACACACTTTGAATACCATCTTGCCATAAATACTTTATCTTTTAGTCTATTATTCCAACGTTCATAATATGCAATATGAAACTCGTGTAATATAGAGGATGTGGATTAATGAAAAATAAATTAATACAGTACCTATTTAATTTGTTAAATGATAAAAAATAGTAGGTAATAAATATTTTTGGTAAATAGGTCACAACATAAAATAAGTACAAAATCCTAAAAGCTAATCGAGAATGTTACTTAGTAACAAAAGAGATCATTTTTTGCAGCATAAAGCAGTTGTTCAAACGATGAAATTGATGATACAACTTTGTGAATGAGAAGCTATATTTATACATATAGTTTTTAAAATTGTACTAGTGTTTGAGTAATTATTTTCTTCCCAGCGTAAAACAAATAATTCACTAGAAAGTTAGAAGTTGCATTTAAGAAATGAAGTTGAGGCATTATGTACTGCACTTGTTATCACACATTTCACATTTTTTTGTGAGATTCTTAAGAACATTTTAGGTATGTTAAAATCAAGCAGTGTAATCCAACCAACCAGCGCTAATAGCTGAAAGACCATGAGCCCATCTGTCCAATGAGATGGCCATCTTCGTCAAATGTAGTTAAAGTCAGTTTGCTTAATTTATTGCTTAGCGATGGCAAATTTGTTGTGGCGTACGTGAATGGATTAGATGTAAGTGACGCATGCGTTTCTGAAATAAATTTTATAAACGCAATGAGTTTTCCAAACGTTGTCTTACCATTTTCGGAACTTTGATCAAATGGTCTGTCCGTTTCGTCGGTAAGACTTTTCCGTTTGCGCTGTTGCACAAATGTGGTTATCAGGGAGTCCATAAGGCTAGCTTGTCGAGAGAAAACTTGTAGAATCTTTGATACACGGCTACCATTCTCAACTACTAGGAATTGTAGGAACAAGCATGGCAAGCAATTTGGATCATCTTCCTTTGATGGTCTGGCATAGTCCCAATTCAACTCCTCATATCGCAATCCAAGCAGAACGGTCTAAAATAAACCAGTTAGTATGAAGTGTTGTTTTTGGTTTGTCTACTCACACTTTGCAGGTCATCAATGACATAGATACTCTTTGAATTAATAGCAACTAAAACGGGTATATCTTGATGCGTGATTAAACTCATTAACCCCCTCACTGGCTGTTCAATTTGACCTTCAAAAAACGCAGATCTAAATGGATTTTTTTATTATCATCAACATAGTAAAAGGCAACGTACAAACCCGTAAAAAGGTAGGGACCAACAAAATTCCAAATATTTTCGTATCAACTTTCTGTTTGTGGCAGAGTGTGGAATTCGCTTAAACTGCTCCAACAATCTAACCTCGGCTGAATTCTTTGAGCTAATAGGAAGCCAACTCCATGTTGCACTTTTGCACACGTGCTGTGGTAAATACTTAGATTGTTCCTCCCTGAAGTAATGAGTTGAATGTATTTGAGTATTATAAGGTCCTAACTCGATTCGCGCCTGAATTCCACCAAGCATGATATAATGAGAGACTTCACATGGATATCTTCCTCGAAGAATATTCTGCTTGGCTTCTTCATAAAGTAATTCCATAATTTTCTGATCTCTGCCATGTAAGTACAGTCAGTAGTGGGTTGAAACAGCTACTCACCGTACTTTATTTTTTCCTCCATGTGCTGCTGAAAAAATACATTTCTTTGGAACGACACTACCGGGTCATCTCTTTGCTGCCGATTGTATGATGCGTGACTATACTGTTCGACCAAATGTCTCCAGTTTTGCTGAATTTGGAATGGTTTATGGGAGGGTTTGAGTTGCAGCTCTAAGATGATCAACATTAATAGTTCATTAAGGGCGATAAATTCATAGAATACCTAAAAGTGGGCTATTCATCCACAGTGTAAATACTTGAGCTGCCAATGGTTTATTGAAATTAAGCTCATCGCAATTCAAAATCGCCTGACAAAGAACCTCATTCGTAGTACTTGATGTATCCTCAACTTCCATAATTAATGCGATGCGATTGTACAGATAAATGCAGACTGGGGTCACAGCGTTTTGAATTGCTTCGTTTCCACCAGATGATGACGTAGAGCCTGCCACTGAACTAGGTGCCGACAATGTTACATTGGTATCTGAAACATACGCAATGCTAGTCTAGGTACCATTAGAATATATTAGAATATTTAACATAGTAGATTTCACTTGTGTTTTAAGACAGAGAGAATTTGCAGTAAAATGTGTGTATGTGTATCATCGGTTTCCGCCGTTAGCAAAGTAAGTTCATAACCAGTCGACGATATCAGTCATTGGAAAATTTACCCACCAGTATATAAGGCCGCCATGTGAACAAAAAAAAACAAGTTCAGACATTATTATTTATAATAATGGAAACATTTCGAACGCGTACAGCAAAAGTAGAAAATGTTGTCACATGTGTTTATGAACCCAGTAAATTTTTAGTTTCATGTTGGACGAGCCGAAAAAAGTGCAGGTAAGTTTGGTAATAAAATCTAGTTGTTTTGGCCCTTTTTAAATCATCTTCAGTGGCGAATAACGGAGTGACCGTTTTATTTATTATGCAAAATAGCAGACCTGAAATTCTGCGCGAGATATACACATTTTTGTTCATATTTGTGAGTCATACTTGGTATTTGACAGAGCAGTATACAACGTGCAACGCGTACCATTTCGGCCGTTCAAACCAGCGTTTATAATAAATTTATGGTTATATAAAAACGTATAGTTTGGTGGTGAATACAGGGCGCCCTGTTATAAGATCGAGCTCCAGCATCAGCAAACAGGTTAGTGCCTCAGTCATTTCCTTAAATAATTGTGTTTTGACATTATGCATTTTTCCGTTTTTCGTTTAATTCATTTCCACTAAACGGTAGCGTATAAAACTAGATTCTTTCATACAGTCCGCGTTTCTTCCCTTTATGCGTGATTATTATGAGCCAGGCAAAGGGGGCTGCAGAATAACATTTCAGTTGCTCAAGAACTTTCGTAATAAAGAAGATTTGAGTATGGTTAAAATAACCATAGCACTCACTTTTCAGTTTTTAACCAACGTGCTAAAAATTACATCGCATCTGTGAATACACTGCGCCAGAATCTTTAAATTATAAACGAAATACACTCCTGTAATCCAGGTTTGGCGTAGCGTAACAATTATATATTCGCACGGTCCTTGTGTACAATATACAAATAATTGATAATATTATTATAGCATATGTAGAAAATTTAATAATCTACGATAAGCGATATTTATGCGCCTGTAATTACAACGTCCATGTGGTACATATAGCTATATGACAAATTTGGGATTACCTAATGCTGCTAGTGGTATCCTATTGTTCTAAATTGATTAATTAACACTAACTTCTCCAACTTTCTAACGCATTTTATTTTATGTCAATAAATTCCGTGTAAGCGGGAGCTTTCATTCTCTATAGATATGCTATTTCCTTTACGAAGATGAGCAGGCTAACTGCATATCTTCCGTCAATTCGGTATCTCGGTACTGTAGTAAGACAGAGATAATTACATTTTTGGCTATTAGGTATACCTCACTCACTCACCTTCTCCCAGACCAAGACCTCCTAGATGATTGTGTTCGAACCCAATTTTACGTTGTGTCTTGAGGTATCTGAACTCTGAAGTTATAATTTTAGAGGTCGTCGTCTGTCGGTTTAAAGACATCGCAAGAGGTTTATTCCTTAATTAACATTTTGGAAATGAACTCTTTTCATTTACAACCACGCAAACATTTTACAATAAAATAAATCCATAAAGAGCGTTTAAAAAAGCGGCAGAGCACCTCGGTGTTACCCACGGAGTCATTGGATTTGACCCATTTTCAATTGGCTTGTGACATGTGGTATATATGTTGTTAACTGTGCAAAGTTTGTGCGTTTGCAAGAGGAGACTTGTTACATTTGGCATATAAGTCTACTGTGCAAAGTTTCAACCGAATAGGTTTAAGTGTTTGGCAGGCACCAGGGACAGAGAAGCGGGGTCATTGGATTTGACTCATTTTCAATAGGCTTATTACATGTGGCATTGTGGCATATAGGTCAACTGTGCAAAGTTTGAACCAAATCGGTCCAAGCGTTTGACAGTTATCGTGTTCACGGACAGACGAACACCATCGACTCCCCTATAAACCTTTCATCGCTTTGCTCTGTCGCTTAATAAATGCGTATGGAAGAGACTATTTTCCTTGGCAATTAGAAAGCGTACGGCCGTTCCAGAATAGTCAGATGGCATTGTAGTATTTTGGTAGGGGGTTCCCACTGAATATAAACAACAAACATTTCAAACTGCACATTTCTATTCAACATAGCACCGTTTCTAACTGGAATCGTAGAATTTCATTCAACAACCAAATTGAACTCCTTTTTTTACTAAGCAAGTTATTTCCTTACTCAACAATGAAATGTTTTTAACTGCTTCCAGAGCGCTCTCGTTACAAGTTAAATATCCATTCCTTATAGTCGGGGAAACATTTCAAGAAAAGGCATCCCTATGAATTCGAGAAGCAAATCGGCACATGGCAGGAAGTGGTCTCGCTAAACTGTGGCAGGAAAGTGGTATTCCTGCTGAGGGATCTGTCAAGAAAGTCTTAGAAGGCAAGGCCCACTCAAAAGGCATGAGGGTCCACAAACTAAGTTTCCAGGTTTTATGGCACCACATCTATTCGTAATTTGTTGATTACCTGGACGAGTACTCATTTGGTGACGGACAAGCTCTCAAATTGGATGCTACAGATCCTAACTGTATAAGAAATTATTTGCGGTCTCCTACAGTCTTGGACAGCCTGAGCGATTTTCTGAAGGAGCGCTGTGAAGAGGACAAGAACTTTGCCTTGTGGTGGAGCTTATCAATACTTTGGCCTCAAACCCAAAACCTGTTTCAAAGAAGAGGCTCCGTCTCGTAAGAAGACAGATTCTGCGGATGAAGATGCAATATTTCATTTGATGGAAACATTTCATTTGATGTCACAGGACGCTTTTGACGTTGTCTCTAACATCGCCTCAAACGACAGGGATACACAGAAAATCACAGAATCTCTTCTTCATGTCAAAATAAAAGGCTCAGAATTGGTGCAAAATTTTGTTGAGCAGCGTTTGGTAGAGTTGCATGGCACACCTGTGTTGAAGTGGTATTAAAGAGGCGATCTCCTTTAAGCGTTCCAGAGCAGGATTCGTCGTGCTCAAAAGCCACCCAAGAGAGGGGCGAGCCTTGGGAGACAAGTACTGGGGGAGGGGGGAGAGTCTATTTTATGAATTGTCGTGGTAGTGTGACTTGAGACGTATTTCAATACGCTATGACATTTCTTCTTCATAATTTTCATAACTTCCACTAAAAATTATAAATAAAGTATTTTTTCTCCACTAAAATGTTGAATTATTATTTTAAGTGTTTGGGTGCCCCCTCACCATTGAAAACCCTCATCCCCACGTATCTTGGATACACGACTTCCGGTGCAAAATCCGGATTGGCAAACGGCAGATTCGGATTAAGCGGGGTCGAAATGGGGGATATCAGTCGTTTGCTCAATTGTTACCCGATTTGCTTCTTGAATTCCGATATTTTAAAATGTGTCCCCGACTATTAAACAACATAAATCAATTAGGCATGCTAGAAGCGTAAATTTTTCACCTTTATTGCTTTAGTTTCGTAACCGAATTTTGTTTATGCCCTACGTCATAAATTATTAGTTTATGCGTTTAAGATCGGGGGCGCTAAATCTGTTTTGTAAAAAAAACTAGTTTATACGGAAAAGAGCACCTTACGCAGATTAGTAATAACGAGAATCGAACATAAATGGGTGTCCATTTTCACCATTTCCAGATATTCGAATTTTAAGTTTTAGGCGAGGTGAAAGTAATAAGGAGAGGGACGCACATCAGTTGCCATAACATGTAGGTCGTCCGCTAAGATTGGGATCGGTAAAATTTTACTTGCGGAAGAAGCGCGATTAGTCTAGAAAATATACGGGGCGGAGTGGAGTATCGCTCGACGTTTTAAATTCAAGTACTAATGACACATACCAACTCAAATTAAATTAAATAATTTCAAAAAAGGCACAGACATTTTTCTTTATTAAAAAAAATAAAACACGAGTGGACGAAAGTTTAAATAAATAAAGATGACATTCGTACGATGCGAGATGAAAATAAGCTGTCATCAACAACGTTTCAATTTATTTTATTACAAAAAAGAGTAGATCAGGGGACAGATTTCTAAGGTTTGTGTCGGACACTTTTTATCATATAGAAGTATCAATCAAAATATACTTGTGCGGTTTCTAGGGGTAACCGTTTTCTTGCAAACGTTTAACAGTTTTTCTTGCCCTTACAATTCTATAATAAAAACCTAATTTGCATCGGGCGTCTATAGAATAGACAAAGAAGGAATATAACTTTTAACAGTATTGACGTCATAAGTCTTGATAAAAGAGAATGTAATTACGCATAATTATAGTGTCATAATATTTGCGATAATTTTTTAGAGAAGAAACAATCTTGAATACAAATTCACGAATAGAAAACATATTGATTTATATAATATGAGTAATATCGTAAATTTATCTGCAATCACCAATAACACCTCGAGTGTCATAAAATTAACTGTAATATCGGGATAGCGACATTTTTCCAAAAAATTCAGCACAGTGGTAGTACGTATTTTTGATTAGGGTTTGAGGTATGAAGCAATTAATTCTTTTATTTGTTTAAACAAATTCTTTTGCTTTTACAGCCATAATAGATACATAGGTAAGGTACTATTGTGTGTAAGGGATGAGGTTAAATCGACAAAACTGCGAAAATGTTTAAGTGCATAAATTACCGTAAACCGAGAAAGATATGCAAATTAAGTGGACATTCGATGTGACTCATCCTCTGTTATTAAAAAAGTACCGTGCTTTAAACTAATCAGGAAGCCACATGATAACTATAAGCGATTAAGAATTCGGAAATGCTTCTATCAAAACATAGTGTGATTGTCAACTGCAGTGCGAACAAATAAACTCAAAATGGAATATTCCACAGAAATGGTACAGAGCGACTATTCTTTTGATTTTGAATCAACCACCCAGCAGATACTCGCCCGTACGATTCCAGGTGAAAATCAAACGCCTACAAGTCATAAAGCTCCATTGATACTCTACGATGTGCTAATTCCGACGCTGGGGACTTTGATAATTCTTCTCAATTTTGCCGTGGTTTTGTCAAGCGGATTAATTTTGAAGAGAGGTAACAGAGAACTGAGCGTGAATCTTTAACAAGTAGGTATATTTCTTAGGTCAACAGCCAAGGTCAACGTATATGTTTTTGGGAAATGTGGCACTCACCGATATGGTTACAGGGGTGGCAGTTATATTTGGTCAAGTTTTTCCAAAGCAATATCGCAATCACTACGTATGTGCGACTCAATTAGGTAAGTCACTGTAGGTAACAGAAATTATGGGCTTTTATGCTTTGTTTAAACCATTTTTACTTACCTACCGCTTTTCATGGAAAGTATAGAATTCCGCATCACAACTGCGTTCCATTTTTACGGTTTCCTGCGAAATCGGTGAATAAATACCTACCTACCTATCGGATTGTAGCATCATTTAGGTAATGAAAATAACCGTCGTGATTATCAGGCGTTTTGATTTTGTAATGGAAAAAGCGTGCTTCTTGTAAATTGCATTTTAGCATTCAACTACGTAACGAGTGGATGTATGCCGATTGGCGTACCTTCTATCCATGTCTTTTTTTAGCGTAACACAACGAAGTTGAGGTAATTAGCGTAACACAACGAAGTTGAGGTAAAGCTTATGTGCTCGTGTTCCGTCCGTCCGTCCGTCCGTCCGTCCGTTCCATCGAGATCTCGGCCCCTGGGCCACCTAGAGACTTCGGGTTTTCGCTAATTGATAGCTGTTATGGTCTATATTTGCCCAATTCGATCAGTTTCATTTAACTCCATATTTTGCGCAGACTGCGCAATGCCAACTTTCATATTTATGGAGATATTTCTTCAAATTTTAACCACAGACGCTTCTAGTAAAGGCAAACACGCATATAGTAAAAATAATGTGTGGGCATCAGTGATGTGTATACTGCGCAGCCAAAATTCTTATTTATGGAGATATTTCTTTGAAATTTTAACCACAGGCGCTTCGCGCATAGTAAAAATTATGTGGGCATGCGCAGTGACTGCGCAATGCCAACTTTCTTATTTATGGAGATATTTCTTTGAAATTTTAACCACAGACGCTTCTAGTAAAGGCAAACGTTTCGCATATAGTAAAAATAATGTGTGGGCATGCGCAGTGATGTGTGGGCATACTGCGCAGTGGCAAAATTCTTATTTATGGAGATATTTCTTTGAAATTTTAACCACAGGCGCTTCTAGTAAAGGTAAACATTTCGCACATAGTAAAAATTATGTGGGCATACGCAGTGACTGCACAGGCTGCTCATACCCAACTTTCTTATGTATGGTAATATTTCTTTGTAGGCCTTGGAAAATTTAACAAATGAAACACGATGCATTATAAAATAATAACAGCCGTAATTTTTAATTTTTCTGCTGTGTTTACATTCAGAAAGTGCAGTTTCTTGAATTGAATTGAATTTGTAATCTTTTCTAAAATGCCGATTTAACCAAGAAGCTTATGCTGGCGATATATTTTGAGTATTTTGAAAATGCGACCGTCGCTGCCCAAATCTATTTGCATTATCCGAATCGACTACGAACCATCGCCGATGCTTCTTGGTTAGAACTCGTCATACGACGAACGGTTCCCGAGATATGGCCGAGGAACAGTTTTATTGGGTCACCCGGTACACAATTTGACTTCAGGTGCATTTATAAGAACAAATCGCAAGGAGTGCGACCGGGCCATTGAAGGTCAACATAATATAAAGTCTTTCACGGAGGAAATTCATTTAAACTCCACCTTGCTGACGAAAATGTTAACCCTCCTAGGAATTGAAAAGTTGTTCGGTAGAATAGCAAACGGAGATATGTTAAAATCCGTCCGGAAAGTGTATCGTAAAACACCCACTATTACAGAAGAACTCTTCCACGGCGAATGAACGATGTTAAGGACACCAATGGGACATGGCAACTTTCCAAACAAGTCAACAGAATGTGACATTGAACGATCTTCCTCCACCTACCTGCCACGTATAAGCTCGGCTTAACCCTATCCCAAATTTAGTAACCTCAACCCTAAACCGATAAAACACTTCTACGGTTAAATGGGAAGACTTTCGTAAGGAACAACTAAATTTTCTACAATACTTCTTCTCCTAAAGTTGCCTGGATTCCCATAGAAATTGTCTGGATGCAGGATTCCCCTAGGTCAATGTTCGTATTTGTGGTAAACGAAGTGTTGGACAATTGTTCAAAATATGTAGATGAATTTGTTTTACTGGATTTAGATGGTTATTTATTTACACCGTAAAAATGGGACACCCTGTATATTCAAAAATAATTTCTATGGATGCGACTAAAAAGGTTTTTTTACGAAGTGGGTAAGTTCTGTACATGCGAAAATTAATTTCATATTGCCTAAGGCCAGTAACGCACTAGGCAGCCAAGGTGCGGTAAACAATCCCACACATGAATGCGCACGCACTAGGCGGGCTCGAATAAGCAATCGCGTGTGAGTGGTAAACGAAGTGTTGGACAATTGTTCAAAATATGTAGATGAATTTGTTTTACTGGATTTAGATGGTTATTTATTTACACCGTAAAAATGGGACACCCTGTATATTCAAAAATAATTTCTATGGATGCGACTAAAAAGGTTTTTTTACGAAGTGGGTAAGTTCTGTACATGCGAAAATTAATTTCATATTGCCTAAGGCCAGTAACGCACTAGGCAGCCAAGGTGCGGTAAACAATCCCACACATGAATGCGCACGCACTAGGCGGGCTCGAATAAGCAATCGCGTGTGAGATTTGCTGCGGCCGTCTAGCTACCGCAGCCAGGCGGCCTAGTGCGTTACTGGCCATTAGACTCATTTTTATTTTATGAAAAGTACCTGTAGTTCAAATTTCGTTGACAATTAATAAACATTAAAGTTGGGATGTGCTGATACAGAAACGGAAATTTTCATTTATTTTCATTATTACAGCTCTCATTTTCCCTTTGGAAGTGCTCTTTTCCAACACGCCTCAAATGCGCAACGTCACCTGTCTTTGATATAAGCAATCTGTTCCCAGTCTGCTTTTTCCAAGAATATGTACGAGGGTTGTCCGTAAAATTAAGGTCTCTAATGCTTTTTCACATGGTAAACATCATTTTATCGCAACCAATTACAGATTCTGAAATCTTTGACTTTTAGCTATTTTTTGAGGTAGTCCGCGGAACGATCAATGCAGAATTATTATTTGTAGTAGTATATCGGGCTCCGAAAGCTTTTCCATACCCGCGTCGTATGATAGAAGGAATCATTTAAATATCTTAACAAATAAGAAAATTGGATTGCGCAAATACAAGTTACCACACACAACTGCACCCGGACAGACAGACAGGCAGACTGAAACAGACAGTTGGGCAGACGGCAATACAACATAATAAACGATCTCGAAGATCGTCAATAAACGGCAAAAGTGTGCCATAGCTTTTTTCTTAAGTAGCACAGAAAAAATTCCTTTCTTGGTGCAAGCCTCGACACCATAACGAAACAAATAGCGAAAAAAGTAGAACAATAGCTCTTAAGATAAAGAACTAGTAGCGTACAAACGGACGGACGGACGGACAAAGTGGCCACAATAGCGCATTTTTTTATTTTTGGGGAAATGCGCTAAAAATACAACGGCCCCAAGAGTTTCATAGTTCCTTTCTCCTCCTGGGCACATATCCTGTTGTGCTTGCAAGCGCTAATTTTTATTCTAGCATTAGTATTTTGAAAAATTTCATAATATATTTCAAATTCACAGGTATGATTGTTTCAAGTACTTTGGCATCAGTATATTCAGTTGGTCTAATTGCGATTGATCGCTATTTATACATACTTCATGGGCTCCAGTATCAAATATGGGTGTATCCAACGAGAGTTAAAGTATTCATTCTAACATCTTGGTTTGTTGGTAAGAACTACGGCTTGCATAATTTTTTTTAGGAAATGACCGTACAATTTACTTTTGTAGGTTGTGTGATTGGTTTCCTTCCGTTAATGGGGTGGTATGGCGATACAGACAACGGAAGAGTGTGCTGGTTTATATTGATGGCACCTAAAGAACTCATTTTACTGACGGTCGTAATAGGCATAATTCCTCTCGTAACAGTTATAGTGTTGTACTCCATAATTCTCTATCGCGCTTTAAAAAAGATTGTACAATTAAGCGAGACCGACGCGGAAACTGAAGCTAAAGTGGCAGGTCAAAGTCTGCGAATATTTCGCGGTAAGGGTACCGTTTCCGAAGACCCAATTTTGGATCAAACACAGTCAGCAAAGCAGAGCAAAATCCCCAAACCGCCCAGCAAATGGAAGGCGATTAAGGTAGTCGTTTTCACAACGAGTAGCTTTATCATTACGTGGTGTCCATATTTCGTCGCAAGCTTATGGTACGCGTATGAATGTTACGATGTACAAACTGCTCGCTGCAAAACGTTGAGAATTTTGGTAGCCAGTCCTCTCGCGATATTGGGTTTTGTGAATAGCTTGGTTAATCCGGTTATATACGCATGGTGGCATAAGGGTTTTAGAAAGTTTGTAAAGAGGAAGTTCAATCGACTCCGAATGATCAGGAGAGAAACTCGAGAAATCACTTCTACTGCACGAACAGGGGCGACGAATAGATCGGTGCTTGGCAGTAAATCGTCTTCTTCAAGTAACGTATCTTCCATGCCGACTGCATCGTACACTACAACTGTATCTGAGACAATGGATTGATACCGATAACTACGCCATCTACCTACATCTATTTTATAAATAGGGAAACAGAATAATTGTGGCAATCTTATTATTTATATTAAAAATAATAATAATATGCTTTATTTTTTTCAGATCAGTAATGATATAAATAGTAACAATAGTTTGTAATTACCTACATATTTAAGAAATCTTTGTAAAATTTAAGGTGATAAAAATTATAAATTTTTGTTTAAAATAATAACGTTGAGAGGTATAATTTCGATAATATAACCCACGCAATGAATGTTGTGAGGAGCCACATAAAATAAATGAGTTTCTTCAACACCTAAACTTTCCCACTCGGGAGCGTCTTGTTGAGTTGCATTTCCTTCCCTTTGTGGGTACCTCTTCCACTTAGGCCTTCAAATCATTTGAAATGATAGCGCGAGATTTAGTGTATACCCGCTGTAACGGGCGATCACTGCGCAGTTTTAAATATTATTTTTTAGAATTTGTATTTCGTTCAACACGAAATTTACCGCTCCATTAGAAACATGAACGCAAGTATATCTGGAGATAAAAAACGATAATGGGTGCGCGTTTAGAACTAAACGCAGGCGGGGTTAAGTAGATAAGCGCGCACTCAACCGAGTTTCCAGTTCTACTAACCGCTGCGATGGGGAGGTAGAAGGGCTTTAAAACGCAATGCAGGTATAAAGGTACAAAAAACAACGAGAACTCTACCACTTGACTGTGTACCGTTTCGGATTTTGTAGTTACATATACAGGGTGTTACACGACCGTTCGAAAAAAAAAAATCGGGTTGTAGAGGGCATCAAAACAAGCACTTTTTCCAAATAAACCGAGGGTCCAACGTGGTTCGTTTGGGAGCCACCCCCCAAAGAGTGTTGAAATCTGCATTTCTTCTTTAATTTTTTTCTCAGCAACCATAAGAGTTACAAAGTCGGGTGGCATGTCTTTTTTGGGTATGCTCTTTCCGATTTTGCAATTTTTTTTCAAAATTCCTACCCCTAAAGGGCGCACCCCTAAACTAGGGTGCAAAAAAAAATTCTGATTTCGACGAAATTTGGTATCTGGGGTTTTTTTAACATGAAAAATCTGAAATTAGTTTTTGAAAATTCGAAAAAAAAAGTTCCACTGCAATTCTTGGCGGGACAACGAAAATAGAGATAATTCCACGAAATTTGTTGTGTACATACTAAACGAGTTAAGGAACAAAACTGTCGAACAGTTTTTTTAAAATAACTTTTCAAACAAAAGTTATACTCATTTGAATGTTGGTCCTTCGGGTCGCGAAGTGTCCCAAGCCTACTAGTAAGCCATAATTTCGCATGTGTTGGTTGACAATGTTATTTTTCAACCTAAGATTATGAAAATTTTTGATCATAGTGAAAAAGTATCATACGGAAAGTGATTTGACTTTTTCCCCTACCTTATTTAGATAATAAATAATCGATCAGCGCTTTAAGATACCTTGGTAGGTGTTTTAATCTATACATCGAATTTTTTAATCATTTAATGACCGAATTAATTCCAAATAACAAAATATCGACTCAAACCGTTAATCTTTTGTTTTTGCGACATTGTCAACCAACACATGCGAAATTATGGCTTACTAGTAGGCTTGGGGCACTTCGCGACCCGAAGGACCAACATTCAAATGAGTATAACTTTTGTTTGAAAAGTTATTTTAAAAAACTGTTCGACAGTTTTGTTCCTTAACTCGTTTAGTATGTACACAACAAATTTCGTGGAATTATCTCTATTTTCGTTGTCCCGCCAAGAATTGCAGTGGAACATTTTTTTTCGAATTTTCAAAAACTAATTTCAGATTCGTGATTTTCATGTTAAAAAAACCCCAGATACCAAATTTCGTCGAAATCAGAATTTTTTTTGCACCCTAGTTTAGGGGTGCGCCCTTTAGGGGTAGGAATTTTGAAAAAAAAAATTGCAAAATCGGAAAGAGCATACCCAAAAACCTATTCAAAGACATGCCACCCGACTTTGTAACTCTTATGGTTGCTGAGAAAAAAATTAAAGAAGAAATGCAGATTTCAACGCTCTTTGGGGGGTGGCTCCCAAACGAAACACGTTGGACCCTCGGTTTATTTGGAAAAAGTGCTTGTTTTGATGCCCTCTACAACCCGATTTTTTTTTCGAACGGTCGTGTAACACCCTGTATTGTGGATCAGGGATCCGTTTCGTGTATCACATGCTTTAGAGTGGTCTAGTGGTTGTAAAAATAACCTCGAGCTTGTGCAGATATAGATTAATTTGCGGCAAACCTGATACATTAGTGATTATTGCACGTCAAAAAGGCTGGTGTCGTAGAGGGACAATTTTATAAACTAAAACGCATTCGAGAAAACAATTTTAACAAGGCAAATGCAGTTATTTACTATAATTCGAATTTTCTTTGAAACTATAACTGTTTCATTGGTTTAAGTACATACATTACAAAAAATTACTTTGTGATCACACCCTGTATAATTTAAAATATTTTGCAATATGCGGGATATTCTTTCATAGAGATATAGACAATCTCGACAAAACCTTTCTTAAAGTCATAATAGCACTTCGTTGTTGACTCACCCTGTATAATGATACTATGTAAACATAGTTAATGCTGAAGTAATCCATGATGATGTGCGTGCGGGAATAAATATTGACATTTGCACCTCTGCAGTTGCCCCTAACTTGAGCAAAAGTGCATGCTCTGTTACTCTTTACTGTTTATTTTCTAAGCCTGAATAACAACACACATTTAATGGGCTTTATTTTTTTACTTAAAACTTTAACAAATGAAATTGAATAATTTGGCTTTAAAGACCTCAACAAACTTGTATTTACCACACACTTCTATTTTGGCATGAATCTTCCAATTAACTTGTACAATATACATACTTCCTAAAACAGCATACCTAAAAATATATTATGAAAACATCAAAATGAAATTGCGCTTAGCATGTTTCTATACCTAGACATTCAGAAGTACATCTAATCCTCTTGTTCATAAGCTACAAAATGAACTGAACTAATCCACCACTGAACTTTGTTTAAGAGCGCGCTGCCAGAGTGGTGGGGGAGCTTATTGCCTTTAGTTTATATTGTTACCATTTCAAAATCAGACGGATAACGGCAGATGGCGCTAATGTTGTCTGAAAGCACTGTTAAGTATCTTGTTTTTATCTCGAAAATTCGCCGCGTCCTTCGGAAACTTTCGGAGACTTTCGCTATATTTACAACAAGCACGTACTTTTGTAGTCAGGATATAAATAAAGAAAACAAGATTGCTAGTTACTGTTACGTTCAAAATTTAAATCAATAATTACGTTTGGCGCTCATGCCATCTATTGTATTCTTAGGGTACTATAACACATCAATTGGCATTTGAATCCTGTACATAATTATAAGCACAAAATTGGCGAATGGCATGTCCTTTCTAACAATTCAGTAAATATTTACGTCCCCTAACAACCCACCTAAAATTACATTTAAATTGTTGCTACATAATGAACATGCAACTTACCATTTACATGTTTTTCACTGACAGCCTCAGAACTTCCATTCTTCACTCCCTCCGATCCTGACATAGTTCTATCCCTTTCCCAATCGGACGCTAAGCTAGAATAACCCCCTTGCTCCGTCGGACATAAACTCGCATAGCTCGTACTTGCAGGAGGTACCCGCTGCGAGACCGAATATAAAGCTCCTTGGCTCGACGAGAGATCCTCCGTTTGGATGTAGTCATCATGCGTTCTTCAATAATATAATTATAACAAAATTATGTTACACCTACAAACACACCTGTACTGTTCCACTATGTATTCACCGGATGCAGATGGAGTATTGAACACCCGACGTGTATACTCTACTGGGATAACGGTCGTGTAACTGGTAGATTGACTATTTAATTGTTGACTTTCATTTACATCGGACATTGTGTTATGTCATTTTCTTCTAGGTCAGCCTAAAAATGGAAATAGTGGTAAGTGAGTAGGTTGCAAAATGTTAATTACCTTTCAATTAATACTGCAGTCGAATTATTTGACTCTGATCTCTGTAGCTGTAGCCCTAGGTACTCATTGAAGAACAAACAGGATATCCTTTTGTGCGAATCAATTGGCTTTCCCCTTACGATTGAATCGCTTATATCCTCCTAAGGGCAAGGTTATGGAGTATTTTAATCTGTGGTTATGTGCATGTCTTGTTTACATAATTGTTTACATTTAAATAAACGTTTAAAAACCGTCAATAGAATAAGAGTGATATAGTCAGCACACCTTACACGCTGCCATGTTTGTTGTATATTTTTACTTTTAAGGACCGCTGGCTGTGTTCTCCCGCGACTATGTGAAAAGCGCATGCGTTACCCATTTCAAATTGAAAAACCACCGCAATTCTTGAAAACAAAGTATAATAGCTATTTGTGTATTAAGAGCGCAAAATGATATATTGTCGATTGAAAGAGACAGTTGACGCGCGACGAAGGAGCGCGGCAATCTCTTGAAATCGACAATCAATTTGCGCTCGAATTACACACAAGATTTTTTCTACAATCGATCAGTTCACATATTTCCAGAAATACCATTTCCTTTAAATATGTAAATAAAAAATGTTCTCTTCTATTTTCCATTGCACACTGTTGAACAAACGTCAATAATTTTAAAATGTGTATTTTTTTCACGTCGCAGGGGCGAGGGGCCGCACATCGCAGATTAACAGTGGCGGAACACCTATCACCAGTAATAAGTTTTGAAATTGGGAATGGTATCATTCTCCCCTCTATGCACTGATGCAATCAGCTCTTAGATTTGAGAGTAACCGAAGAATGGTATAGGGAACACTCCTTGTCCATCAATCCTACAAAAACGGAGCTAGTTCTCTTCACAAGAAAAGGCCTTATGACCTTGGTGTGCAATCTTTAGAGTAACACAATGAAGTTGCGGTAACGCTTATATCTCAATTTTCCGTCGTCTGTCTGTCTGTTCCTTCGAGATCTTGGTTCCTGGGTCACCTAGTGTAACGGATGGTTACAAATAAAAGGGTAGTTTTGTAATTCTTCCTCGCAGAAGGGTTGCTACTTTCTGTTAGTATTTTGTAAAGGGTTGAATTCTTTCTTAGGATCGTGGTGCAAATTCTTGTGGTGATCTCTTCGTCTGGTTTTTCGGCTGGTACCCTTATAACTTACCTCCTTGGTACGTTGCTTCCAGTTAGTTCAAGTAAAAATTGAATAAAATAAAGAAGGAATTCATTTCATTCAGCTTTCACTTATTTATTAATTGTCATCAAAATGTCATCAAAATTTGGAAAAATACGTATTTTTGTAAAGAACGTATATCTGTGGTTATACTATACCTATGTTTTGGTCTCTCTTTACTAAATGTCCGTTTTACTCCTTCCTTTATAGCAACAATAATTCCAAAAAGTTAATAGAATTGTAAGAATTTTAGAAATTAATTTGATCTTTCACGGTATTCTAATTAAAGGTCTCAATAAAAGGAACTGTTTTTTGCCAACTACCTTATCAAAATAAGGGGTTGGAGGTGGGGAGAGGGTTGGAACTGGTTTTATCCTTCATGGTACTCTAATGAAACGTCTGAATTAAAGTAATGTTAATTTCTACTAACCATCACCCTCCTCCTCGACCCCTTATCGTGACCGGATATAAATAATATAAATATATCTATTGCTGATGGCAAAACTTTATGAGCGAATATCTCGAAAATGGTTTGTGTACCCACCAAGGCAAAATTAATTGTGAAGTCGAAGCAAATATCTTGAAAAAGAAGTGTCGGAAGGAGGTACTCATAAAAGGTCAAGTAGAAGGTCAAGACAGGACATATTTATTGGTGATGTCAAAACTTTCATTACAAATATCCGCAGAAGGGAGTGTCGGGAGAGGGTACTATCAAAGGACAGAAAGAACATCTAGACGAGACACATCTACCGGCGATGTAAAAACTTAATTAATAATATCTCGAAAATGTTGGAGGAAGGTACCTACAAAGGTAAAACGCAATATTTCGGAAAATTTCTCTAAGGGCTTGATTCTTCTTGCACTATTATAGCGTAGATTTTGAGTGTATGCGACCTTTAAATGTGTATGTGTAAAGAGCCCTCTCCTCATTCATCATCTCCCGAGGGCTCATTATTACTCGTCTCAGGGGTCAGCTACCAGGCCATGTAATTTTCCATGTTGCTTTTAACAACAGGTTTTTATTGCACCAAAGACGAGTCACTTGTTGTACACGTTCACCTTGTTTTGTTACCTTCTTGTACCCCAACCCGTTCTTTGTTTTGCAACTTGATTTTAACCTGTTTTATATAATCTTTTGTGTATCAAATTTATAAAAATAAAAAACAGACAACGGAATATCGAAGGATCCTCTGTCTCGTCCAGACAATTAATTTTGCCTTTGTGGGTACTTTCCTCCGACAAAGCGTTTTCGAGATATTCGCTCGTCAAGTTCTGACATCTACTAATAGATATATTTCTTCTAGAAATTATCTAGGAATTATTTATATCCGATCATGATAAGGAGTCGAGGAGGAGGCTATGGTTGGTAGAAATCAATTCCTTTCGTTAAGACCTTTAAATCTTCTCTTTTGATAAGGAGTCAGAAACTAGGGCGGTAGTTGGCAGTTTCTTTTGTTGAGATCATTCGTTTCGGTGAGACCTATGTCATGAAAGGTAGAACGTGAGTTCATCACCCCCCGTCCCATTTTCAAAATTTTCACTTGGCACCACTAAAGGCATGTGTATGCAAATTCTGAGACCAGTTGGTTATCGCACGTTTTACATTAAAAAACAGCATCTCAGGACATAAATCATGGGGGGGGGGGGGGGGGCTTGAGATTTGATTTGATGCACACTTTCAAGGTTCAAGGTTACATACTTTGCAAAAAATTCTCGAAATCTAGGACCATTCCCATAAAAGTAGTTCAAAACCGCAGGAGCGGTTTCGGGCGGACGGACGAACAAAAAGCCAACAATAGCACTTTTGTAATTCTTAAAAAATATCTACGTTAAAATTCAAATTGTGCTTTCATACAGGTACAGACCTTTGTAAGAATAGGAAATAAAATGTTAATTTTAAGTGAAATTCAGGTAGTGAGGCTGTAATTTAAGTTAAAATGTTCACTTTTCCGATTTGTTTCACACTCCGTCGAGTTTTATTAAGAATTTGAGTCTGTAGTGCGAAAAAAGTTAAAAAAATATTCTAAATCTACACTAACCCTCGCAATAACCTAACCTCAAAAGCTGCTTGGTGTTGATGCACACAGTCCAGCTTCATTGAGAAGTGTTGTATGAGTCGACGTTATGGTCATATTCGGCTTAGTGTCCCTTGTACACTTGTCGGCGATGTAGCCACGGTCGGCGTAGTGTCTGTGGTCGGCGATAAAAAAATCGTGTCGGCGTTGTGGGCATTCGGCGAAGTGTCCCGGCCCAAATTCTTGAACTGGGAGGATAGGAAAATTTTCTGGGTTTCGGCTGATTGGTTAATTTTCACATTCACTCAGTGAGGTATAAAAATGTTTAATGTTTAAATACGAATTTTGAAAAAATCTCTTCATCTAATGAAATTTTTTTTGAGCTGCCAATCATAGTCCACGTGGCTTTTCTTTTGCTAAATCAACATAAAACCTCCACACAATTTAATCAGGCAAAATAGATATCAGTAACACTGCCAGTGGCGGAACAACATAGTCACGGGCCTGTGTGCGAAATTTTTTGCTGGGCCCCCATTATGATACGAAGTATTGATAACAATATTAATTTAGGTATGAATTTTGGCTACAAAAAAAAACCAATTGATAAGTATTTATGTTCCTGAACCTGAACATAGAAAAATACGAGGAAAAATATGTGGTAACCTTAGAGTCACAGCGCGGATTCAGCGTTTACCTACGCTTATCATTACCCCACGATTTAGAAAATTGAATCTTACTTTCTCAGTTAACTTTTACTATTCAGAAAGTCATTCGTTCGGTTATCTCATGACTCATGACAATTTATAGCTAATTTTTTTGTACCGTTGAAGTTATACTGCGTATTTTAGTACAAAAAAATTAAATTTAGTACATTTTCATTGACATTTCATTTTCAGTATAATTAAAAAAATTACTCAATCGCTGACTGCAGTCTGCAGTTGGTTTCACACCGTGCTAGAGGTATGCTCCAAAAGGTTCCATTTACCGTGTTCCGTGTTTCCGTCTTCCCGTGAACAGTGTATTATTTCTGAGTATGACAATCCCGGGTCTCGGGCCCCTTTTTAGCCCGGGCTCGTGTACTTCGCACACATTGAACACCGGTAGTTCCGCCACTGAACACTGATTAATACCTACACCGAAACTTTCCAGTAGTATCCAGGCACAACCCCCACCACTCTTTGCGGTGCAAGGTCGTGACCTTGGTATAGAGAATTTCTCGGTGGCGTAACTAATGAGCGACTTTGTTTAATTTTATAACTCGATAAAAATGATAAATTAAAATTATTGTTTCTTAAATAAAATTTTGGACGATATGTGACATTTGTTTCAACTTCGAGTTTTAAGAGGCAGAAGGAATTGTCTTATTTTTTATCGAACTATAACATTAATCTTTTTTTGCGAATGTTCGAATTTCCATTTCTTTTTTGCTTTGATGGTTTTACTAGTTCTGAAACGTGTTTCAAATATCTTCCTAAAATTAAAACCTCAAAATGTGATTTAAGATGCACTGATAATATCATTTTACGGAATTGAATGTGGAAAACCGTATACCGAAGGGCAGTTCGGAAATTCACCCTTAGATGTAACCCCAGACGAAAAGTTCTGATGTATTCCCGTTATGAGGAGCTGGAGGAAAAATCAAAATATGCTCTCCGGACCGCGTCTCCGAACCACCGTTTGGTATTCATCCACAAAATAGGAAGTTGGAAAGAACGATACGTTACCCTCGCCCAATTCGAATACTGAGAGGGCGCACAAATCCGCAAGCAACGCGCACCGACGCACAGTTTAGATGCGAATTTTATAGTAGCGATAGGAAAACCTTCCCTATTAGCATTGAATAATAAATCTGATTCAATGCTATTAGCATCAAATTCAAAATTGTTTCCATAAAACTAGTACAATTTTATAATTCACGATGTAAAATAGAACGCCATAGGAATCCTGGCATATGGTGATATGGGCATTGGGCATCAAGTTGGAAGCCTGACCAAAACTTCTACCCTTCTAGCCCCCGTGGCTCGTTTGCTGCACATATATTCATAATATCGATTACTTTATTATATTTAGGATATTATTTTGTATGTGAAAACGCAGTTTTCCG